ACGCACTCTGGCCTCCAGCTTCTGGATTTGCTTCTTGCCTCCCTTCAGTGCCAACTGCTCAGCCTCATCCAGACGGTGCTGCAGGTCCTTCACCGTCTGGTCCAGGTTCTTCTTCATCCTCTCCAGGTGAGCACTGGTGTCCTGCTCCTTCTTCAGCTCTTCTGCCATCATGGCTGCCTGGAAAGCAAAGGATCAAAGCCATTTTGGGGCTGGAGACATTTAGGGGGAGAATGCATCCACTATTGGTGGTGAAAGGAGTCCCCAACTCACATCTGTGATGGCCTTCTTGGCCTTCTCTTCAGCATTGCGGGCTTCCTGGATCGTATCCTCCATTTCACCCTGAATTTGGGCAATGTCTGTTTCCAGCTTCTTCTTGGTGTTGATCAAGCTGGTGTTCTGTTGAAGAAAAACTGCAGTGTTTTCTCCAGCAGCTTTACACCACATTTAGTAAAAACAAATTGCTTATTTTTATTTAAGGTTTAATTAATGTTTTATATGAAGAACATGCACTGCTGATTAATGGTTAAAGGTAGACTGCTGAAGATTCTGTGAAATATAGCTATTAAAAAAGGAAAATAGACTTGAATATTATTTCAGTTCTTTAAGAACTGTAGATACATCTAATCAACCTTAGAACTTACCTGGGTGTGGAGAAGCTGAACTCGCTCACTTGCATCCAGAAGCTCCTGCTCAGCCATTTTCCTCGACCGCTCTGTGCTCCGGGGCTGCCCGGAGCTCTTCAACTTCAGCCTGCAGCAGGTTTGCTCTGCGCTCCACCATGGCCCCCTGCTCCTTCAGGTCCTCCTGTGTCCTGAGAGCATCATCCAGGTGTATCTGGGTGTCCTAGTAAGAGAGACAAGACATATTATGAGGTGTGTTTTTCCTATTTTCTTACTTCCTATTTTCACATCAATGTAAAACAGATACAGTTATAGAACAGGAAATTTTTTAGCTTTTTGAAAACCAGTGAGCACTTGTTTCCTTGTCCCATACCTTGAGCACTGCCTGTGTGTTCCTCAGGTTCTTTTGTGCCTCTGCAGCCTGGCGGTTGGCATGGCTCAGCTGGATCTCCCTTTCA